AATGAAGGAACACAAGGAAAAACAAAAACAATAACACATGAGATTTAGGTTGAGTTGGCTGTAGAGCGAGTGAGAAGTGGTAATAGAAAGGGGACACATTTAGGCCTCGTTCATTTCACTTATTTGAGTTTTCAATTTTAAGTTTTTACAGTTAAAAACTCTCAGAAAATATCACATCTAATTTTTTCTGCTACAGTTAAAAGCTCTAAGAAAATTACACATCTCAACTCAAATTAAAAATTCGACTCCGCAAAGCGAACAAGGCCTAAATGGAGATGGGCACAAGTATCAGAGTTTATATATTATCACGAATCAAAAGTGGAGTGGGGATAGGAGAAGTATCCCCGGGCCCCCATTCATTTCACCAATTCGAGTTTTGTTACAGTAAATAACTCTCATAAACAATCACATCTAACTTTGTTGCTACAATAAAAAACTGTCACATAAAGTCACATCTCAACTTGAATTAAAACTCGAATCAGCGAACTAAACGGGTCCGTCTCTATCTCCATCCCCATGTATATATACATATTTTTTTAAAAAAAAAATTAACACAAATATATATTATATATTATAATAGTACTCATATTTTCCTATTTTATCATCATAAAAAAGCCTAATAATTTTTAATTTTAAAAAATATTAATGTAGTGTTGATCAATTTCATATTCATGTCGCAAATATATTTTTTTTATTGAGTAAATTGGTAAAATATAGATAAAGCCTCCTCAATCGGTATTTTCTTATTACGACTCCGACCTAAATACATGGGTATGGAAGTGGATATAAGGGCAAAAGTATATCCTAACCAATTCACTCACAAACTGTAAAAACAACACAAAAAAAACCCCACCATTTTCATCTCCTAACAAGACAAAAAATAACTACGATCAAATCCAAAAAAAAAAACTCAGTTAATGGACCATCACCACCTTGACGACAATCATCACCGCCGCACTGCAGTGGCAATATGTCTAAGCGTATCATGTGAGAGGAGGAGCAAACATAGGCGGTGGGTTGTCAGGTGCGTGAGGGTTAGGTTGTGGGGTCGGCGGCGACGAGTTGACGCAGCAGGATGATGGGTACCGACAAGTGGACGAGGTTGAGCGATAGCAGATTTGAAGATCAGATCTGATGTGGGAGTGGGAGCGGTGATGGGTATGGATGCGATCGAGGGAGGGTAGATCTGAATGTTAGATCTTAATGATATGAGGCCAAATTTATGGGATTCAAATCACATGTTTAATTATGGTGTCTTAATTAATGCCTAATTAATCGACACATTATTTAAAAAATTTAAAATATCTTTTAACTAACTTTTTAATGATTTAATGTTTAGACCTATTAAATAACGTGTCATAATATGAGTAGTTAAATACTAATTAAGATATTAAATTAGACATGTGATTTGAGTTCAAATCTATGGGTACTTAATTCTTAAGCTGATTATTGAAACTCCAAGTTTGAATATGATGAGATTTTCTAGCATTTATGACTTGAGATCTGAATATGAAATCTGAACAAAAGAGAAGATGCAAAGGCTTAAGGGCATGTTCGATTGCATTTTTGAGTTATGGTGACTTGAGTGTAGATCTTAAGTTGAATTTGAGTTATAATTTGAGTTAAAGTTGTAACTTGAGTTTTTATTTGGATGTGCGCATTTGAGTTATGATTTGAATTGAGAATCTATTTGAGTGGGTCAAAACTTAAATTTGTATTTAAATAGTATTTTAATAAGAACTCAATGGTGATGAAAAATTTTAATAGGGTATATAAGTGGGGTCTTATTCGTCTCCTCGTTGTGAATGCATAGAAAAAAAATCATCTCAATCGAAATTAAAACGAAAAAGTTATGACGTTTTTAAAAATTGAAAAAATATTGTTTATTAACTTGAGTTTGAGTTTAAAAACTTGAGTTGAAGGGGAAACTTGAACTCAGATTTTAGCCTCAAACTCAAGTTAAAACTCGAATTAAAACTCAAGTTCAAACTCAAATTTTACAAACGAACATGAACTTAAAAAAAGTTATAATTTGAGTTCAAACTTTTTTTAAGTTTTACTCCAAAAGAATATACTTTTTCTTTAGTTTATATATATATATATATATATATATTACTTTTTTTAAGGGTTCTTTAAATATTTTTAATTGTTTTGTAAAAATTAATTATGTGTAAATTAAGTATAAAGTAGGGTACTAAGAAAACATTTTTCTAAACGTGAAGGTACTATTATAATATTATAAAAAATATAGGGTATCAAAAATATGTTTTTTTATAACACAATGTATCAAAATGATTTTTTTTTATTCAAAATACACACGCACATATATCATTACCTTTTAGGGCATATTTGAAAAGTATACTCAAACCATAATTGTTGATTTTGTCGTTTGAAATTTAATTTTTTTGTAAAAAGAAAACATTATAGCTGAATCAATAATTTAAATTTGAGTATATGAAACAAACAGACTCTTATTGTTTTGTGATCTTTTACCTTT